AAAAAAAAAAGGACTTAAACCCTATAAAAAAATGACACTTTTTCCAGAAAATATTGAGTCAGGTAATATGTTATTGTTGTTAAGTGTCGCTGAGTCAGTTTCAACTCATAGGAACCCTGTGTAGGGTTTCTGAGGAAAAGCTGGTGGATTTGAATTGTCGACTTTGTGGTTCAAAACCAATTCACAGTCTAGTGCTTTAACCTATAGCACCACACCAGGACTCCAGGTAATATGTTGTTAAGTGCCATCGAGTTGGTTCGGACCCACGGTGACCCTGTATAGGGTTTCCGAGGAACGGCTGGTGAGCTTGAACTGCCGAACTTGCAGTTCAAATGGCTTTGCAGTCTGGCTCATTAACCCACAGTGCCACACCAGGACTCCCAGGTATATGGGCAACCATAAAACCAATTTGTCACTGAGTAGGCAAATCCATGTGTTTCAGAACAGAGCTGTGCTCCACAAAGTCTTCAGTAGATGACCTTTCAGAAGTAGATTGCTTTTTCTTGAGATGCCTCTAGGTAGACTCAAATCTCCAACCTTTTGGATAGCAGCCAAGCTCCAAAACCCTTTGCACCACCCAGGGACTCCAAGGACAGCCATATAAATATCTCAAGACAGAATTCCAGACTGATCGTCTTCCTTTGGAAATTCTAAGTCCTTTTGTTGTTACTGTTAAGTCCTTCGTTGTTGTTGTTGTTAAGTGTCATTGAGTAGATTCTGACTCAATTCACAGGGACCCTGTACAGGGTTTCCAAGGTGCAGCTGGTGAGTTTGAAATGCCAATCTTGCAGTTCAAACCAGTCTTGAGGTTCAGTGCTTTATCCTACAGCATCACACCAAGAAGGTACCTTATTCCAAGGGTAAAAAGTGGTAAAGGAGCTCTGGTAACGTAGTGGTTATGAATCGGGCTGCGAACCACAAGATCCGCAGTTCGAAAATACCAGCTGCTCCGTGGAAGAAAGATGAGGCGCTCTGCTCCCGTAAAGATTTACAGCCTCGGAAACCCTGTTCAGGGTAGCTATGGGTCGAAACCAACTCGATGGCACTTAACAAAAACAATGAACATTTAAACCTTTTTGTTATATTAGAGTTCTTGTTTTTGCTTAAGGATTGTACGGCAAGACTTTGGAATGAGAATTAAGGATAAAATATGCTTAAAATGTTCTCCCCAACCCCCTCTATCTTCTTTTTGAATGAATGAGAACCTTCAGAAAAGTTAGTTTTCCATTTAACTACAATGGGTAGTTCACAGTTTTATACAGTTAAATATTAATTTCACATCTCTTCACACAGTTCAAGGAATCTGAATGATGGATATATATATATATATAGAAATGAGGCGATTTAAATAGATGAAAAATCTACAAATCAATAACCTGAGTAGATATTTAATATTGAAAAGGTTTTTAAAAAATTATACTTACTGTAACTTGAAGTAATCATCTGCTCCCTCATAATCTACCATCTGAGTAAAATTTGTTAACTAAAAAAGAAAACAAAGTTTATGTATCCACAAAGACAGTATTCTACACATTACTTTTGTGAGGAGCAATTGGCCTATAGTTTATAGTTGTTGTTAAGTGCCATAGAATCAGTTCCAACCCACAGTGTCCCTGTATAAAGTTTCCAATGAGCAGCTGGTGAGCTTGAACTGCCGACCTTGTGGTTCAAACTGACTTTGCAGTCTAGTGCATTAACCCACAGCACCACAGCAGGACTCCAAAAGCTCTTTAGTGGCCATCTAGGGTGCAACTATTGGTCTCTCATTGTGTGAAGAAAAGAAGAGTGAAGAGAATGGACTAAAGGAACATGTGAACAACAGTCTCCACAACCCTGAAACCAGAAGAACTAGATGGTGCCCAGCCACCACTACCAACTGCTCTGAAAAGGATCACATTAGAAGGCCCTGAATAGAGTGGGAGAAAATGTGGAACAAAACTCAAAATTATAAAAAATACTGGGCTTACTGGTCAAAAAGAGCCAGGAGAAACCCAGCATGATGGCCATCAGGGTTCTCTGAGGTCTGTAACTGAACTCACCCCCACAGCGCAATTTCCGGGCAGGTATGCTCACCATGGATTGATCAACCATTTGAGATCAAAAGGGCGACATTTACCCAAGGAAAAAGTTCAGAAGACTTGGGAAGAAGGGTGGAATGGAAACAAGAAAGAAGGAATAACTGATGTTTACATGGAGGAGACTGCAATCATTGAAATGAAATGTATGATGTCCTGAGTGTAAAATTGATGATCTACCCTATAAACCTTCATTCAATTCATAATTAAAAGTTTTTAAAAAGAAGCTTATGTAAAGAAGGAAAATGTGGCAAGGGCCCATGTTAGCATCATATTGCTTTCCATGTCCATTCATACAAAATTCATTAGGGTATGTATTAATGCTTATGACACTAAACTACATTTTCTTCAGACACAATGTATACTCTTAAATAGTTGCAATGTTCTTTTAGCTAAGGAAAAATAAATTAGCCCTTTACCACTTTTCTTTCCTATTTCAGAAACCTTAATTATGTATCGATTGGATGAGCTTTGTTTCATTATATTATTTTTTGTTTTAATTTTTTTATCATCACAGTACTTTTATTTATAATGTCTCTTCTTTTTCATTTGACTTTTGTCATTGCTATGTTCTTTTTCTGAATTTTTTTTTAAAACCTATTTTCAGATCTTATCAAACTTAAGTTACTTTCTTTGTTTTGTAATAACTTTGTCTTTGAGCTTTATTTCTTCCTTGAGATTTCTAAATTATTACAGATATCATTTTGTCTGTCATTTTTGAAACTATGAGGAATTATTTGCCTAAAGCCTTCCATGTAGGTTCCTACTCATAGCGACCTTATGCACAACAGAATGAAACACTGCCAGGTCCTATGCCATCTTCACAATTGCGGCTATGCTTGAACCTATTGCTGCTGCCACTGTGCCAAACCATCTCATTGGTGGGTCTTCTTCTTTGTTGCTGACCATCCACTTTGCCTAATCATGATGTCCTTCTCCAAGGACTGGTTCCTTCTGATAATATATCCAAAGTATGAGAGACAAAGCCATTCTGACTTCTAAGG